GCCAGTAGACAGTGAAAATCTGAAGTCTGTCAGACTAATTCTCTAGGAGGGGTTGTTAAAGTACGGAGCCTGTAAATCATCCAAAAATTACCATAAAATTCTAAATGGCAGACTTCCTGTTGGGATTAGAGTTTCCGTCCAAGAGGCTTTGTGGTACATCTGAACATGATACACGTGCCACAGAAATTTCGTATATGCAGGTGAAACGTGCCACGGGGGCTGCTTTGTTAACACCTTTGTCAAATTTGGTATAGATGTGAGTATGTACACTATAACAACTCCCTGTTTTGTGACGAAACATTGATATTCCACTCCACCCCACGGGCACCGCCGGTCAACCAAAACTCAACATTTGTATAACGTGTAATCATCAATAGGAAAGGGCTGCACAGGAAAAATTTTAAGTCACACAGACTAATTCTCTAGGAGGAGTTCATTAAAGTGCAGAGTGTGTAAATATATATGACAGTTTAATCCAAAATGGCCAACTTCCTGTTGGTTGTTGACCCTCCTGGTGTGTGGGCAAAGTTTTGTAAGGTTTTGAGAACATTTAGGCATCAAAATTAGATGTATTTGAAGAAATATTTCTTCAGTTCTGTTTTGGGATTGAACCCATGACTGTAATAAGAGGTACTGCTTTAAGAGCCTGACAGCTAACTAACTGCACCACCAGTCAGCCTGCTTATAATGACACAATTTGATCCTTTGTTGATACAAAAAGTGTATTTGCTTCAAAAAAAGCTTTTCTGCTATCATGTTGGTGTTTTTAGTTACAGCCTGAGTAACAGAGCATAAAAATACATTGTGTGTCCGAACTCCAAACAGCGAGGAAGATATAGCAAGTTAAAGAATTAGTGACAGGGGGAGACTCAGGCTGCAGCTACAACAGAGAGTGAATGAGAGACGACTGTGACTTTCAATTCAATCAATTAAGGTTCATAGATAAAACACTAAACACTAACTCCACTGAGCAAGATTTTGCCATTTTGAGGGAGAAAAGGCATGTGGCTACATTATGGTGCCTTTTTTGTGCTTACAGAGATAAATATATGCGACTGGAAGCAGTTTACGAAAACAAATCTGTTCTGCCAAATCCTCCTGTCTCATGACACACCCTAAAGTCTGCTAAAAGCTGTAAAACCCTTCACTTTGGATTCACATTTTTAAGCAAACACCAAATACAGTACAACTTTGAAAGATCAACACCTTTTCTGCAACTTGCAGCTCCAATGGAGTCTGTAACTGCAAATATGCCAGAGCATTTAGCTCTTAAACTTGAGTAGGTTGGAAGAAAGTTGAGCCCCTGCTCCCATTGAAACCCATTTGTTTTAAAATGCATAAAAATATTAAGCTCTCACACTAACTAAAGTGAGTTTTGTCACTGAAGAAGGTCTTAGGAAAACTCAGGATATCTTACAAAGCATTGTTTATTAACCCTGGTTGAGGAGAATGGTAACAGCACACAGCGTACGGATACAATGTAGCACCAAAACCAATCTAATGAAACATCCTGTTCCCAAGATTTTCCCTTTGCTATCCCATACTATCTATCTGTTTCTCCCAACAAGGTCATCTTTAACTGGCCTAAATCTGTTACCTACGTCACGTTGAAATCTATTAGTATCATGTATTTGCACTCTTATCTACCAGTAAGCTGTAAACATATAAGATTCCCAGAGAACATCGATATCTGCTAGCCTGATGCCAGAACTACAGTCTCTCTGTCGTCACCCTGACAAAGAAAGACACAGAGGCAAAGAACTAGGGCTGGAAGTCAGGAAAAATGTACTTGTGGGGTCTGTCTTTGACACACAGAGTGTGTGCCTAAAATGTACAGTTGATGCACAGAGGACAATACTATGCTAATAAAATCCATACAGTCTTGTCATTATAACACATTACGGTGCTGCAGATGGGAAGTGGATGAAAATAAATCAGTGTGAGGTGTGTTCCAACGTGGCAGAACTTCTGCTGAGCTCAGTTTAATACAGTGGACTCATCTATTCTACTTGCAAAGTTGCTTTTTTTAACAACAAGTCTACAATGTGGGAATGCAGGTAAATTGTAATAAGGATTTGTATCCAAATGTTGATGTTAAAGGGTCAAGCATGAGTTACCTGTGAACAGATGATGTGTCTGTTTTTAAGCAGGAAAAGAAGACAGTAGTGTGTGGTCATCAAGCTGGCCTGCAGAGCAGAAGCCTCTTGCAGTTCTTCCACAACAGGCTCTTACTTTGATGGATACTACACTGAGTAACTACATTATATGAAATGTTTAAATCTGGATAAATACATAAAATAATAATTCCAATGTAGCAATTGTGACCATACACTTGTAGTTGTCACATTGACATCATCATAGGCTAATGTGTGGAAACATAGATGCTGTGAATCTCCTGTTCCCCCTCCACATCGGTCAGTGTGTTATGATACGATATACTGATCTGTTAATTTCCTTAGAGGTTCAGTGTGGATCTATCGACAGAAATGCAATATAAGATCCATAACTATGTTTTCAGTGGTGTATAAAGACTTTACATAATAAATCGTTATGTTTTTATTACCTTAGAATGAGTAATTTATATCTATAACTGCGGGTCCCCCCTTCCATGGACGTCACCACGTTGTGTTGTCATGTATCTACAGTAGCTGTAAACGGACAAACTACAGAGCTACAGAGTGCGTTCCATCACTACGTTCTTCTTGTTCTACTTCTGCTAGAATTCAGGCAGTGCTTAAAAGCTTTTAGTTGTAGAGTCAGAAGTTTAATATTAACCAGGAATTATTTGAGATGCAAACAGAACATTTGTTAAAATAAATATATTTAAAAACAAACAAAAATTTTCAAGCTTGTCAGCATAAATCCTCAAGAATCCTGCAGTGTCAAATGTTAGAAATATCAGATCGTCTGCTAATCTGATAGCAGGGTGAGAGCCTTGCTGCTTGTTTTATTGGATGATTGTTGTGACTGTTGAGCTGTTAGACTAATTTTCAAAAAATTCTGTTTCATTAATGAAGTTTATATAAATGAGATGCCTAACCCTCCAAACTAGCCTAGTCCTGAGGGCTATTTCACAAAACCAAGATAGTGGATTAAGCCAGGATCTTTTCAGTCGTCCTGGCTGAATTTAGTGGCACTTTCACTACTAGCCTGTTCAGCCAGCAGCCACACCAAACGAGATATTGTGTGGGGGTTTTTTGTGTTTTTTTTATTTTTTTTTACGGTTATTCCATGTTTTAATATTTTTTGCCTTATTTATATTAGTCTGCATTAAAATACAAGAGTTTCATATTGCCATTCAGTACTGTTATTCTTGTAACATTGTGACCATTATTACTTTTATAAGTATTCATGTGCTAGTCATTGTTACTGTTATATCATTTATGCTGTTCATATTGTTGTTAGAGGTTTGATGAATATATAATTGGAGTTGTTGAGGTCATTAGAAATGGCTGATAAAGTAGCAAAGGTGTTTAAGTTAAATCTGTGATAAGGCAGTAAAGTCCTCTGTACATGTGTTTCTCCCTTTACAATGGGATATTGTTCTTTATGTGCTGAACCAGTTTCTTAGAGCATTTAATCTGAAATCTGAGCCTGTATCTTTTTCAGTCTACAATTACATACAATGTTGATATACACGTCAGGGGTAATTGAGTGCAGCAGGAAACAGAGCAGTGGACCCAAATGCAGACAGAGGCGAGGGAATTGCAGTCCAACAAAGATTTATTAAACAAGTAAAGTAGGCTTACACTGGGAGCTCAGTGGCAAAACAAAAAGTGTCCAAACAAAAACATAATCCGCAGGGAAAAAATCCAAAACATAGGAACAAGGTACAAACACACAGATAAAGCCACAAGTGCAGGTACATGATGGAACACTCCACACAGACAAGGACGTCACAAACACTGAACACATCTGAGGACAATATATAGACAGGCAAACGAGCAAGGAGGGAAGCACAGCTGAAACACATCAGGTAATCAACAACAGGAACAAAGCTAAACAAGAACACCAGGCACAGAAGCTTACAAAATAAAACAGGAAGTGAAGTACTCGGGAACACACAAGGACAGATCTACCAAAGTAAAACACCAAACATGGAAAGACTGCAAAATTAGGGCATGGACAAGACCGGACCAAACAGGAGACAGGACTAGATTAAGCTACAAAACCCCAAACCTGGCAAGATCAAATAAAGCTTACAGAACCAAATCCTAACAGAAAGAACATTTCCACCAAATGGAGGCTGTTATTTCACTTACATACAAACTAAGTACATAACCCAACTGGTAGTGACCTAAGGTTTCTAGTAGATGCTAATTATTTAATTTTCTTCTTATAAAATAAATGACTTGTCTGGTGTCCTTTTGGGTACCTCAGATTTGGTAAATTGTGAAGTGGTGTGATTGACTCAGTCTTTTTTGTCTCTACGTCGCAGCCCTGTTTCACTGATGCAGTACACAATACTGGACCAATTTCAAAAAATGTTGTCCCATTTAGTCACACAGACACAAAAACACAGGGAAATAAGGTGCAGGTTGAAAAGGTTACCCTTTAATTTGCTTTATTGGCATGAGTGTAACAAAGATAATATAGACAAAACATTAATTAATAATGAGCTGAAAAAGAAAATTACTAACAATCATTCTATGATCACAAAGATCCCTTGAATCATTTAGTCACTTGAGTCACTTAGATCACATGTCTTCCATCTTGCTGTTTGATCTGAACAACAACTGAACCTCTTGATCATGTCTGTATGTATGCATGTTTATCCATAGAGTTGCTGCTATGTGATTGTCTGGGTTGGTATTTGCATTATGAGCATGTATAGATATATACAGGAGATAATACAATTTGCCAATGAGTGTATTTTGATATTGGCATATACAGCAACTATGCAAATAGGAATTACTTTACATAAAGGGCAGTCTGTTAAAAGAGTGAGAGTGTGTGAATGTTTACTCAGGTGTAATGTTGTGTGTTGTGTCTACTTTTAGGTGTGTGAGGATCACAGACACTGGCTTGGGCTACTTGTCCACCATGTCATCATTAAGGAGCCTCTATCTGCGCTGGTGCTGTCAGGTAAAAAACACAAACACCCACACATACACACAAAAAGATGTAACAAAGCATGGGAAGAGTATATGAGCAGATGTTCGACTATTTATCATATAGCAACTTAGATTCAAGGCTGTGAAAAACTCTGACGGACTCTGATGGTAACTTGTTTTAACAAGCTAGATGAAAGGTAAGGCCCTGGCAGTTGCAAACAGCTTTGGTTATTTATTTTATTTTTTTATAACCGACTTCAGTCAGGGGTCCATGCACCGGGATGCCAGCACCTGCCACCAACCGGCTTCAGCCAGGGCACTGGGCACCGGGATGCCAGCGCCCCCAGCCGCCCACCCTCAACCAACCACAGTAACAGACAGCAATTACACCAAGCAACCCCAGCAGTTGCCTGTTGCCGCGCCCTACCACTAACCTCAGAGCGTCAGTAGGGACTTCAGGCACCAAGATGCCAATAGTCGTTTCGAGCTAACATCGAGCTCACAGTCGTTTTGAGGTAAACATCCGGCTTTCAGTTGTTAGAGCTAACATCTGGTTCACGATCATTCAAGCTCACAGTCGTTTGAGAGCTAACATCCAGCTGTCAGCCATTTCGCGCAAACGTCCGACTCTCAGTCGCTTCACGCTATCGTCCGGCTCTGTCGTCTCCAGCTCACAGTCGTCTCTAACTAACATGCAGCTAACAGTGATCTCAAGCTATATCTAGCTCACAGTCACTTCAAGCTCAGTCGTTTCATGCTAACGTCCGGCTCTCAGTCGTTTCGAGCTCACAGTCGCCTCTAACTAACATTTGGCTCACAGTCGTTCGAGCTCACAGTTGTTTCGAGCTAACATCCGGCTAACAGTTGTTTCGAGCTAACATTCGTTTCGAGAGAACATCGAGCTAACAGTTCTTTAGAGCAAAGTCGTTTTGAACTAAGTCACCTTTAATTAAAGTCACTATGAGCTCAGCCGTTTCGATCCTATGTCAAGTCAGTCGTTTCGCGCTAAAGTCGTTTTGCGTTACAGCTTTTTGTATTAAAGTTGCTTCAAGCTATCGGCCGCATGAGCTCCCAGTCACTTCGACATCTCAGTCGATTCGTGCTCACATCGAGCTAACAGTCGATCCAACGAACAAGTCATTGTAAATGCTTCGTATTTGTATAGCGCCTTTCTAGTCTTTGCGACCACTCAAAGCGTTATTACACTACATCACCATTCATTCAAGTGCTCAAACAGAAACTAACATTCGCACACATTCATACACTGGCGGAACAGCCACCAGAGGCAATTCGGGGTTCAGTATCTTGCCCAAGGATACTTTGACATGCAGCCTGGAGGAGACGGGGATTGAACCGCCGACCTTCAAAGCCACAGCTGCCCCAAAGTTGTTTCGAGCTCAGTCACGTTGAACTGGCTCACTTCAAGTTCATATCGAGCTAACGGTCGTTTCGAGCTTGGGTCAAACTAACAGTCGTCTTTAACCAAAGTCAATCCAAGCTAAGTCACTCACGTCGTGTTAAGTCGTTTCCTGCTTAAGTTGTTTTGCGCTAAAGTCACTTCGTGCTAAAGTCACTTCGTGCTAAAGTCTCTTCAAACGCTCAGTCGCTTCGAGCTCACGTCGAGCATAGTCGTTTTGAGCAAACATCAAACTAACAGCTTTTCGAGCTATCACCGAGTCAACAATCTCGTTAACCATTGGGATCTGGGATCCCAGAGTACAACACGCCAGATTGTCTCTGAGTCGATTCTAGTAGCCTCTCGATTCCCGATGCCACTGCCACTCCCGCCAAGCACCCTCTCGTCATGCTTTTGTCCCATCCATTACCCCGGTCACTCCTTCAGTATCAGAGTTACCCGATCAGCCTCTGACGTCATTCCCGAGCACCTGATACATATCATGCGCCGGTGATCCTCCCAAACGTACCATCATCACACTCATTCAGATCTCAAAGACCTCAGATCAGCCAATGCTCTCACGTAACTAGAAGCTTTTGGGGTCCGTCATGCCCGGGTGCTACGGCGGATTTTCCTATTGTAGCTTCCCCACAACACTTCTAATGTCTATTCAGCAACTGCAAGCCTCGTACATCTTTCTATTTCGATTATCTATAAATCATTTAATCGTACATGTTGATTGTGTGGTCCTTGCTAGTGAAGTGGTGCTAACCAGCAGAGTTTCAGGAGCGGGACCACACATCAACTACGTCATCGCCAGCATTTCCATAAATACCCACATGTCCCAACTCCTCTTCTTCGCTCTCGTATTCTGCATTCCCCCCCCCACCCCTTTTTCTGTCTTGCCTCCTGATCGCCTTCTTCCTCTCCATAGGGTTATAAGTGGGTTTGTCGTGCCTGGGGGCTACGGCGGATTTTCATATTTGTATTCAGCAACTGCAAGTTTTGATCATCAATAAATCATTTAATTGTACCTGTTGATTGTGTGGTCCTTGCTAGTGAATTTACAGTTAAAACAGTTTTTACTTGATAATTAATATTTTAAACCATTTTCAGTCTGGTTTTAGAACTGGCCACAGTACCATTACTGCTGCATTGGTGATTATATATGAACTCATTGGTGCCTTAGACAGAAAACAGCATTCTTATTTGTGCTTATTTGTGGCACAGCTGTCTTATTTGTGGATCTTTCCAAGGCGTTTGATTCTGTGGACAATTAATTGATTCTGAACAAACTTAGGGATGCTGGTTTCTGTCCAAATGCTGTAAAATAGTTTAGAAATTATTTTGTAGATCAGATTCAGTGTGCCCATGCAGAGGGCCATAAATCTGAGTTTCTTGAGATAACTAAAGGGGTCCCCCAGGGCAGTGGTTCTTAACCTGGGACCCAGGGGGGTTATGAGAATGCTGCTATAGACACAAAAATAGAAGAAAAAAAACAACTTAAAAATAACTAGACGGACTACAGTGAATGGAATCACTTTGGGTGGACACCCAGCAATGCCTTTTTTGGTTGAATTTAGGAAAGAGCAAACGCTGTGGTTTTTTTAATGTTGCTAGGCAACCACCGAATCAGCTGTCCTGTGAGTCTAAGATTATAATGCCATCGACCTGTAATCTTTGGTTTGCCGCTAAGTGATAACTGTCATATTAGCAGACTGCCAGAAAGGTTCGGACTGCCAGAAAGGTTAAGAACCCCTGCCCCAGGGTTCCATTTTGGGATCTGTTCTGTTCTCTATTTTTATAAATTAGAGAACAGACTTAGGTAAGGACATACAAACAAAAATACACTTCTATGCTGATGACATTCATTTATACATATGCTCCCTCAATAGCACAGGCAATGCAAAAGCTTCAGAGAGCATTTTTTTTGTAAATCACCAAAACCACAGAAGGTCCTTCAGCATACAGTCCTACGGTATACTGTATGTGCACAAACAATAGTAGGCTGTATGCAGACAGATCGGATCAGATAGTGAAACGCACTGCTATCTGACAAATGTTGTCAGTGTTGCATGTCAGTAAAGAGAGAGAAACTTTTTGAAACAGTTTTGAAAACATGAAGTCAGTATAGAGCAATGTGTGTAAAAAAAAAAAAAAAAAAAAAAAAAGCTGTAATGCAGAGTTTATGTTCACTGTTTAATTGGACAACTAAAAAGATAATGAGACAGCCTCAACTTGTATGTTTTGGTGATTTATTGATATAAAAAAGATTTACACAATAATTTTTTTGTCAGTTAGACAGTCACAATGATTAGGGCTTCTGATATAATGGTATTTATGGAAATACTTATGTTTGTGATTGCAGGTGCAAGATTTTGGACTGCAGCATTTATTTGGAATGAGGAGTCTTCGTCTGCTGTCTCTTGCAGGTATGATTTATGGCTCTATCTTTCCCCACAGAAAGCCTTACTAGAATAAAACTGTGACCTGACCTGTCTGTATTATATCCACACTGAGACATGTTTTAAATAAAATAATGTTAGAAGTCCTCCTTTATTAAAGTTGTCATATTATGCTCATTTTCAGGTTCATCATTTTATTTAGGGGTTGTACCAGAACAGGTTTACATGGTTTCATTTTCAAAAAACACCATGTCATACTGCACATTGCTGCAGCTCCTCTTTTCTCCCTGTGTGTTGAACGCTTTGTTTTAGCTATGGAGTGATACATCTCACTTCTACCAGATCTTTTTTGGGAGTTGCAAATGCGCAGTTCCTAGTAAAGGACTACTAGCCAATCAGAAGCAGAGTAGGGCGGGTCCTGAAAAGCTGGTAAACACGGCTTTGGTTCAGCTGTATATGTTCCGCTTACCAGCTTAGCAACATAGACTGGAGCAAGAGTTTCAGAGTGGTGAGTTATTAATTTGTAACAAATGTATCTTAGATCCATAAACTGAGCTCTGTCTCTACATCACAGTAACAACTTTATGTCTATTGCTGCCTGGAGGGTAGCTAATGTTTGGAAGGGAGAGGGGAGGCAGCAGGCGGACGTCTTGTCACTGTGTGTGTGCTGCAGCTCAATGTGTTTTTCCACTGAGGGTGTGTCTGACAGCCGCTAGGCGAGCATTAGGGCGCATGTTTGTGACGTCACAAGAAAGCTGAAGAAAAGGCTGGACTACAAACGAGCTGTTTTCAAAGCTTTCTGTGGGAGATGGGAACTCTCTTTGGGGTGGACTTTTTCACTTTGAAAACATATTACAAGCACAATAAAGGTATATAACTCAACAAAAGAGAGGGGGAAAGCCAAAAAGCATAATATGACCTCTCATTTTTTTCAAACATTGTGATTGGTCTATAAATTTGCTTTTTATACAATTCAACCAGCTGAACCTTGTTATACTGTATCTAAGTGGATCATATGTTGTGCTCAGGCCACACTGCTTACCTGTACCTGTGCGTAATGGCTGCTTGCTGAGCTGCGGTGTCTATGAAGACAGCGTCGCTGCCAGCCCTGTCTTTCTTCAAAAGATATAAGATTGTAATGGAATTTGGTAAATTAATCCTTTTGATGTTGATGACTCCATTGCCTTTCCTGTACCACTACACTCAGGACAAACCTTTTTCAAAAATAGCAGATAGGTCACATTAGGATTTTGGGACTTAAGTTGAAATCTGACCAATGGGAAATGCAAATTTTTAAATTAGTGAATACACTTTCGAGCTGACAGCAAATCTACAAAAATGCAATATGCAACTACTTTGAATATAAATAATCTTTAAAGTGAAAAAGTTTCCTAATTCCAGCTGTGAAGATTTGCTGCTTTTGTTTTTCTTATTTTATAGTCCTACACAGAATATCTTAATAATGTAAAAGTAATAAGCACACTACTTGATAATGACAATAAATGTTAGCTGCAGCAGATACACTGCAGATACACTTTGTAACCAGGTGTAATCTGTTACCCAACCCACAGCTGAATGTTGTTCCTCCTGCTGTGTCCACCCAGGCTGCCCCCTGCTGACTACCACTGGTCTATCAGGCCTCATCCAGCTGCAGGAGCTGGAGGAGCTGGAGCTGACCAACTGCCCCGGAGCCACCACCGAGCTCTTTAAATACTACTCCCAGCACCTGCCCCACTGCATGGTCATTGAGTAAGACCACTGACCCATCCCACCGACCAACTGACCGACCGATCACCGTACTTTTTTCCTCCATACTCTTCCTCACTCTTTTCTCAAATGCTAGCCAAGAGACTGCACTGCTCCTACTGTACCACACCATTCCTCATTACCTGCCCCTCTACCCTGCCCGTCTTCCTCCATACTCCATTGAATAGACTGACCCACAGGCGGACAGAGAGGCAGGAAGGTAGATGATGGTACTTGCCAGACCCAGAAGATGATGGGATGGCGTTTGAGCTTCATTTAAGAAGATGCTGGAGTGAAGAGCTTGGTGTGACGTCTTGTCTGACAGCAAGTTTCTTTTTCAGAATCAACGAAAGACTTTAGGGAGGAGAGCTTCTCTACAGACTTGATGATTTTCTTTTCGCTGAATGGATACTGAAGGGAGTGACATGCGCAGATCCAGATGCAGTGTAAAGGAATTAGGAAAAGGAAAACAAAGACGTTTGTGTTTGAGCTGATATGGTGGAACTTACACATGCTTACACTGTAAACATGCTCACACACATACTGTATATGGTAAGTGAAACAAAGTCCTCAAGACCATGAGTACTGACGTTTCTATTTCCATACCCTGTGTATTCTTTTTCTCCAGGTATCCAATGTTAAGTTTTCTCGTGTTTAGAGAGAGACACCACATGCCAGCTGGAGAAACAGAAATCAGCGAGAACTAAAGATGCAGTTCAGGAAGTGAATGACAGGGATGGAACTTCTCTCTCTTGCTTTTTCTCCCCTCCTCTGTGTATGAAGTGTGTTTCATGGACTCACAGGTTCCCCATCTTTTGGGATGCCACCACCTTTTTCCATATCTGTGTCATCGGAAATACCCCCCAAAAACTAATGAACTAACTGAAAAAAATTTGAAAAACAGCAGTTTACTGTGTTGGGTTGATTGGCTTATTGTTCCACCCCTCTCATTTTTGATACATTTGATTTAATTTACAGATCTGGAGGATAAGTTGTTGTAAACTGTGAATGTTGTGTTTTAAAAAGGGAAGCGTCGCTGAGGCATCGCATCGAGCGCAGAAAGCATTTGACTTCAATGACGAGTTTCTGCTGAGGATAGCTTTCTCTGATGAATAGAATAGAATCATGACTAGACAATGAGGCGACTGTGGGACTTAAACTGACAGTGATGATTTAATTTTACTGGACTAAATAACTTTAATAATAATAGCAGAGGGAGTTTCACAAGTGATCTTTCTGTTGGTACGGTAGTTTTGTCCAAATTGGGGAGATATCTGATTTTTGGAATCAAAATCATCTTCCTCTTCCATCTTTTAAATGCTTAAACGATGATAGAAACGATAATGAAAGATAAGATAACGAAATGATAGAAACATGATGTTTAGAGGTTAAATTTTAAAATGCAAAGGCACTGTGTGACTCTCTGGCTAAGATAAGGTTACCTCAAATTTAAAAGGGAGGCTAGGGGATTTCAGTATTTATTATTCGAGCAGTTCTCAGACAGGCCAGGGTGAGGAATGAGCAGGAGCTCAGGGTCCTTGTACTGTGGAGGTTTTAAAAGATAATTTTGTTTGTTTTCCAACTTAACCCAGAGTCAGAGAAACTTAAAGATGAACTTTGGAAGTATCAAATGTGAGTTAAATAAGCTGTTGTTCAAGACTATGCTTTTGTTCCTTTTTAAGGGTTCAACTCTGTGTCTTAAAGGGTAATTCTGGTTTATTGAAACTTGGGTCTTATTTCCCCAGCTCCAGCGATTAGAAATACTATTAGTAATACAAAGTTAATTTGCTGCTGTCAGATGATCAGGTTCCCATCAGGTTAGTCAGACTTATTTGAAATAAAGGTTCAAAGGGAATGGTTAAATTATTGATCAAACACTTTCTCAGACCTTAGATTTACCAAACACATCCATAAATTGAGCTAAGCCAGGCTAAGCTTTGCATTCAAAGCTGGTACTAAAAGGCTAAGGCTAAAGGCTGGACAATGGCTAAGAAGGAAAAAAAGTGAAGTTTCCCATAAACCAAAGTGTTTATTTAACAATAAAAATAAGTTATTGATGTTACAAAGGAAAAACAAAGAACTTAAATTCCAGTAGTCGTGTTTCTTCCCACAATCATCTGATATTAAAAAGAAATTAATGAGCCCAACAGTGAGCTTCTTTTTGCCTCTTGTGTGTCCTCAGATGTAATGCCTGCCAAATGAAGGGATTGGATCAGTGTCAGCCAGTATTAGGTTGTGCCAAATCGCTTTTGATTATGCATAAAATGTGGCTGGTTGCCTGTAGCTGACTGCACTAAATGGACTGGAGTGTGTATGGACATGGCAGACCATGCATGTTTTTAGTTGGTCTGCGTTTTTGTTTCAAGAAGGCTCATTTTAGAGGTTGTTCTGAATCTCTTCATTGTATATAAGTATATTTATTTATTTATTTATCTATTTATTTGTTTAAATTAATTTGTGATGACATGATTTATTTATTGAATAGGCATTTTTTAAAGAATTTTGTTTTGTGGAACTGTCTTGAAATTTGGGCCTGACTTAGCTTATGCATTGATTACTGTTTATTTATTTATTATTTATTGACATTTCAGACCCCTGAGTGAAATAATCTACCTATTATACATTTAACATACATTCTTTCAGACACCAGTGACGCTACACATCATTAAGACTGAAAACGTTTTTTAATCTTCATAATGCGCAAGAGTATATTTTTTGTGCAAGTATGTGTCAACTTTGTGTTGCTGTTGGGTCCATCATTAATAATAGGGGATTAACAGTGGTGACAAGTTATATTTACTGTAATTGTCCTGAATGTGGAAATACCGAGTATGATATACATAAAAGCATTTGAAGTCTGAGACTGACCTCTGTCGTGGCTAAGAAATGTTTACACTGTCTACTAAGATGACAAAAGGCAAGATCTCTGATTTGATTCTGTGGAAGCTTATTATGGACAAAACTTTGGAAAAGAGAAAGAAATATTGAGCAAGATTTGAGCATGATCCAGTAAGCTCGCTGTAGCACTAGCTCTGTGCTCACTAGCTTTGGTTTGTGAGAGCGGTGGGCTAGAGCGTTTACCCCAGCTCTGGTCCAGATCAAACACTTGGACGTCTGTCAAGTGAACTGTCAAGTGAACTCTGGAGCAGTTCATTTCTGGTGTGAACACCATTTGAACCAGTAACGGAAAGTGTTCTATTGTATGTATCACACTATTGGTTGAAAATGTTTTTCTTCCTGTTTTGGTGACTGGTGAACTAGTAGCGCGTTTCCTACCAAAATGTCTACTAGTAGGGGACAAACCTGGACTCATGACAAAGTGAGTCGCTTCCTGAATATTTGGGCATAAGAGAACGTTTCTCATTCACTAGAGAAGGTGCAGAAGAACTCTTACATAAATGGAGAATAGATTCCAGCAAACTGTTGAGCAAAAGTGAGTCAACAGTACATCAACGCACTGTAGTATGTAAGTATTTGGAGGGGTTTGTCTTTTTACCCACAGACTGTATGACCAGTAGTCGAAGGCCACTGACCACATGGCTTTTGTTTACTATTTCTGGACCATTTGAGTTTTTTAAACAATGTACCATCATCGCATTGGTTCAGTTTTTGGCTACCAGATGTGTAGCCAAAAATTTCATTGTTTTTGTATGGCCAGTTCATCGAATTCTAGGGTTAGTTAGTTTAGTCTAGGTAAGTTAGGGTTTAGGAGAATTTAAGACTAAAAAGCCTAATTAGTAGGAATACTTATTAATTTAAAATTATGATTTAGTTTTTAATAACTGAATTAAATGGTTTTCATTACCCACTTTTTAATTTACAGTGTCAGATCCACATGCAAATATTTTTCATGTGCAAAAATGTAGTCATTTTCAGTCTATTTTTCGAAGTCGAAGATACTACTCTATCACCCTAAAAACATACGTTTTACAATATGAACAACAAAAACTGCTGTTTGAGTGTTTTTGATTTTAATGAGCTTTCAGATGATTGATGATGATATCATGAACTCTGACATGCCCAGTCACACACTTCTCAGCTACTAATGACTAACAACAAACCTGGAGTACAGTTTCTAAGGTCAATAATTCCAGTCACATATTTTACTGTCTACAGCCTATGACCTACATCTGTCACCAATTTGTTACAACGCTTGCACAGCACAACTTTGAGTAAGCAGTAAAATAAATACTGACAGTGATAATGTTGAAAGTGGCAGGATTTGTGTTTTCTTTAAGTTTTAGTTTGTTTAGCCCACCTGTGCTTGGATCTTACTTTGAGACCATCTTTGCACTAAAGAGAAGCAGCTTCTATTTTGTATAGGCTTCGCCCTCTAAGAGCTGTCGCTATTGGGTTCATCCCTGCGCGCATGCGCAGTCCTGAAGATTTCTTTCGCGCCCATGTGCCGTGCACGGGCCTCTCTCAAGTCTGCAAATTAGGTATATAATACCGGCGAGACCAGAGATCTGCTCCCCTTTTTTCTTCAGCGCTGCATAGCAGTCACTTCGGAGAGCAGAGTAGCATCTAAAGAGCAATTTTCTCCTACTAAAAAGCTTTCCTATGGCTACTCACCGCTCTACCGTTGAGGTCCGCCGCTCGGAAGGAGTCCGCCTCTGCCCGTCCTGCCACGCTGGCTACATCATGGGGTTTGATCTCCACGCCCGCTGCGAGACCTGCCTCGGTCCTCAGCACGCTGGCCTGGCTCTGACTCAGCGGGCCTCATGCCCCTACAGTGCACAGCTGCCCGTGGAGGAGAAGCGACGGCGGGTCGACGCCTTCGCGGCCCTGCAGGAGGAGGAGGCCTACGATGCTAGCTGGGCTAAGCCAGTTAGCTTCACGGCGGACCTCGCCGGCGGGATTGCCGGCAATGCAGGGCTCGAGTCCTCTGACTCTGCTCCCTCCATTGGCTCCCCGCCAGGCTCTCCCCTCTTCCCGCTGGAAGACCTGGAGTTTGACTTTGAGTTGGATAAGAAGGTGGCGTCGCTAGCTCCTGCTCCACTTCCGCTTTCCAGCTTGCCGTGATGCGGGGCTCTCTTCCGGGATCTCCCCGACATAATAAAGACGGCTGCTGAGCGCAAGGGCGTGCCGATGCCTGCTGAGCCTCCTGCACCTGCTCCTAGCGCCATGCTCGGCGACATCTACCAGCCAGAGCAAGCGTCCAGACAAGTCCCTGTGTGGCCCCTTTTCCCACCGCTTCAACCTTTCCTCTCAGAAGCGGGGGCTGAGCCTGGGAAGCTGAAGGCGCCGGTGGCGAGGTACGTCAACTTCACTAAGGTTGAGGGCTTCACTGACCGTGGTTTTCCCTCCGTTCCACCTCTGGAGCCCAGCCTGGCAGCCATCCTGCTGCCTAAAGCCACTTTTTTCGGCAGGAGGAAGCCGACTCCGCCCTCCGCCCACGACCAGGTGACGGCTCGAGTCACCAACCGCTCCCACCAGTGTGCCGCCCAGGTAGCAGCTGCCATCAATAATATATCGCTGCTGGCCTCGTCCATGTCGTCTGCCGCTGCTCAGCCCGACGCCCTTTCCTCCGAGCTTGCCAGCGAGTTTGGGAAAGACACGGCCGCCATTTTGTCGCTCTCCACAACACAGGCGGCGGTCGGCCTGTCTCGGATTATGCCGTGGATGGCGATGCTGCAACGCAACATGTGGCTGCACATGCCCATCTGCCGGAGCAGATCAGGAAGGAGTTGCTGGACGGCCCCATCAGCCCCGATGGGCTGTTTGGGCCGCTTCTCCAGGATGCAATCACACACCTGCAGCAAGCTTCGGACGAGGCGGACAAGGTGAAGCGGCACACATCTTGGAGCAGAGCGCCACCTCAACACCCACGGCGCTCACAAGGCTCCTGGCGTGATCGCCGCAACTCCCGCCCCAGGCCGAGGCGCCCCGTGGTCACTGCTGCGGCTGCGCCTCCGCTGGCTCCAGCCCAGGCCCCCTGGGTTCCCCGGCGGCCGCTGCCCTCTGCACAGCGCCGCTCCGCCATCAAGAACAGGCGAGCAGCTTGCTCCTGGTCCAACCCCCCCGCCGAGCCTCCCCGCAAACAGCGGAGGTATTGACGGGATGCGTGTTTTCTTCCCGGAACAGCTGGACACAACGGCTCTTTTCAGAGCCAACCAAACATCCATAAAGAGCATGTTCCTAACAGTCAGCCTGCCCCTCTCTCCCCTGAGCTTCCTGCAGCTGATGAAACACACGTCTTCCATACACAAGCAAGCTCCGCTGCGCACGCACACGCTGCGTCAGTTGTTGAGCCGCTGTTGTCCCTCTCTCATATTATCATGAGTGAAAAACATTCACATCAGATAAACACAACAACCCACCCACACTCCCTGCCTCTCTGTGGCCTCCCCACCTCTCACCCTTCAGTGTGTGTTAGTGGAGGTTTTTCACCGTGGCATGAGTCTGACACTGAGAATGAGCGGCCGAAGTGTTTCACACTATCGCCGCCTCAGCCCTCCTTTCAACTCAGCTCTCGCACGGCGGCGGAGAGGGCTCTTTTCTGGCTGTCAGAAATGTCCACAGAGGCTCCTCAGATTTTTGCTCGCCCGCTTTCAGAGCATGGCTACGCGTGACAAAATCTGCCCATGAACGAGTGGATGGCGAGACTAATAAAGAAAGGTTACACTCTCCAATTCGCCAGCCCCCCTCCTCCTTTCAGCGGGGTGCTGGAGACGGTCATGTCATCGCAGTCAGAGACAACTGCTCTGATGGCAGAAATAACAGAGCTCCTGAGCAAAGGAGCTATTTCGAAAGTCCCACGGGGCGAGGAGAACGAGGGTTTTTACTCCCGTTACTTCCTGGTGCCCAAGAAAATGGGCGGAAGGAGACCGATCCTGGATCTCTCCTTCTTCAACAAATGCATAATGAGGAGGCCATTCCACATGCTCTCAGTCAGGCACGTATTGGAATGTGTACGTTCCGGGGATTGGTTCGCGTCCATCGACCTAAAGGACTCCTATTTCCATGTCCCCATCATCCCCAGACACAGGAAATTCCTTCGGTTCTCTTTCAGAGGAGCCCAGTTTCAATACAACCACCTGCCTTTCGGCTATTCTCTGGCCCCGCGCACGTTCTCCAAATGTGTGGAGACAGCGTTGGAGCCGCTGCGCAGGTCGGGCGATGATGTCGGCCAGTCACGTGGTGGTCCCTCTGGGTCTCCTCCACATGAGGAAAATCCAGAGATGGTTCGGCCGTCTCCGCCTCGATCCCGTAAAGCACAAAAGACGCCTGCTGTCTGTCCCCTCCTCAGTACAGTCAGATCTGGCGTAATCTGGCGTACTGGAAATCCCCTCACATGCTTTCAGCGGGGGCCCCCCTTGGGAAAGTGACGTCACATGTCACAGTGTACACGGACGCGTCTCTCATTGGTTGGGGCGGGATGTGCCATTCTCACGTGGTGGGAGGGAAATGGCCACAGCCTCCATCTCTCCACATGAACTGCCTGGAGCTGTCCACAGTGCTGAAAGTGCTGAAACACTTTGCTCCACTCCTGAGAGACAAACATGTGCTGGTGAGAACAGACAACATGACAGCCGCGGCTTACATAAACCCTCAGGGCGGCGTCCGCTCGGCTCGGCTACTAGAGATAGCCAGGAGCCTGCTGCTGTGGGCCCATGCGAACCTGTGCTCTATCAGAGCACTCCACATTCCCGGTGTTCAGAACCGAGCCGCGGACCTCATGTCACGCAGCGGTCCCTCTCAGAACGAGTGGAGACTGAATTCCACTCTTACTCAGGAACTGTGGGACAGATTCGGGGAGTCAGAGATAGATCTGTTCGCCTCACGAGAAAACGCACAGTGCGCACTGTGGTTCTCACTGAACGCACGGGACGAGCCGCCACTGGGCGTGGACGCCTTCTCA